AAATTGGGTGACAAACATACTTTGAAATGCTCTTCGATGTGTCAGAGAGATCCCAAGCAGCAGATCGAACGTCTGCATCTTTCTTTTTCCAACTATCACCAAAATGAGAGCCCTTCCCAGGTCTTCGGGATTTATGCTTCTTGGACCACCTTGTCACAGTGACCCGTTCATCTACCTGCACATCCCTGACTTCCGACTTTGAAGAAGCCACACTCTGTACTTCCATAATAGGCAGACCAGAGGAAGTGGAGGCAGAGAAAGAAGCCCGTGCCCTGGGAGATGAGTGAGCGCTATCTGGGCTCATCTGGGTTGCCATATCCCTTCTTGAAACGGCACGAGATACATTCGTAGCCGCATCCTTGACCCCATCACGGCCATCAAACTTTTCATCTGGTGTAAATAAACCAATGTACACAAACCATCCATGCATAAGTACACTAGTTCTAACAAACCATCACGGCCATCAAACTTTTAATCAAAGACATCCGTTGTTCGGAAAGTATATCTAAAAGCTTATCAATTAACACAATCCAAACAAGGTAATTAAATCACCTTCATTAATTGCTCATTCATGTAACAATCTAGTGATGGTAATAAAATCACTCAGCTCAATCAAGAAACTGATGTCCAATTAGCAAATTAAACACTAACCTTGAGAGTCAGGCAGTGAAGATTGCTGCTCCAGCACCTCAGAGCAACCATGAACACTAACCGAACGGGCAATGCAGGCCTCTGCCCGCGTTGTAAAGCCGCCATTTTGGGCACCGGATTGGAACCCCAACCCATCAGCTGATATAACACCAGCTGAAAACGGAGAAGCAGCCATGAAATTACTCACATTGGTCCCATCAAACATCGGCATGGCCGGCGAGTACAACGAGTAATACGCAACCCCAGGCGCCCCAAGCGGACCGCTCTTTGACTTGGGCCGCCTCTGAGTCTGCTGATTCGACGGCCTCACCAAACCATCCCCTTGAACCGGACTCAAAATCCACCTCTCGGCATCTTCCCACTTCGACGGCAATGTCCTTCCGTTATTAAACGGCAGCATCGCAGCCGCCGTATTCTTCCGACCCACACTGGCATGCGACGGGACCCGCTCCGAGCTCCAACCCTTTTGAACACCGAGACTCGTGTGCCGGTAACTCGGTGTGCCTGGACTCGGGAAGTTCGCCGATTTCCGAGACGCCATTGAACCCTTCTTTATCGCGCCTAATCTCGGCGAGGACACTGATGCATTGTTGTTCAAATCCAACGAGGCGGGTCTCGGCCGGTCTAGCTTCTTCGATAGAGCTTCAGATCTGGACCGCCGGTCCTGGCATTCTATACAAACAGACAAAAACCCAAAAGCTTAAAGCTGAGAACTTATGAATGGTTTGGATGGGATTGGACTAATTTGGGCTGGTATTTTACCTTTGAGGGCGAGAGAGAAGGAGCTTCTTGCGGAATCGAGGACTAAATCCGAGTCCGAGTCCTTCTTTTGAACTGCGAGAGCTCGAAGCAGCCAAAAGCAACAGTGAAAGTTTGAAAATTGAAAAAATGGGGGAAAAGCGACGTCGTTTGTGAGCTGTAAATACCTTTGGCTTTTTCTCCTTTTGCAAAGAGACGGCGAGTGTGCTGAAAAGCGTGGATTCTGTTCGGATCCGGATCGCGATCTGGACCACTCGAGCTTTCCTCGTGGCGGCGTTCGTGTGCGGCCGAGTTCTGCTGCATCCAAATCAACACATCAACAATTCGACCGTCAATTAATTAACCATGCCAACGGAAAATGCGGGTTCGATATCCGTACCGGAGAGATCTCGGAGGCGGTGGAGTCGTCGCGGTCGAAGGAGCAGCGGTCGACGCTGGCGGAGGCGGAGGAGAAGAGGCTGAAGTTGGACTCTAAGGCGAGGATTACGGAGTCGGGGCTCGGGTCGCGGACCCGGAAACCGGGTCTCTGCTCCGGCATTTTTCACATTACCAAACTTGCAGAGTTCGTTGAAGATTCCGGTTCGAGTGACGTGGGGAGGGAGTGTGAAATGGCGGGCATTGGAAGGAAAGGGATTTGTTTATGAGATTAAGTCACTGTCATTAAGCGAAGGTAATCACGCTTAAGGATTTTGTTTAGGACTTGGATTCTCTGCCCTCCCAAACCATTCGTGCCATCCTGTTTGTGTGGTCACGGTTAAGCCACGTTAATATTTTATATTACTATTTTTTTTTTGTCTTATTATTTTTATAAAAAACAATATAAAATGTTAGTATGGATTAACCGTGACCACACAAAACAGAAGGGCACGAGGAGAGCACCGAAATGGGAAGGCAGAGAATCCAAATCCATGTTACTTTGACCTACACTCCAAACCGGGACCCACCTCCTGCCACATGACACGTAGACCCACTGTTATTTTTCCTCATTAAACCACTGTCATTTTCCCTTAGTCAAAGCTAATCAATGACCCAACATTAAAAGGCACAAAAAATTTTAATTAATCCACTTTAATTAAACACCACTGTTGTTCCGATTCGTTAAACAAAAGGACTTGGATTCTCTGCGCTTCCATTTCGGTATCCTCTCCGTACCCTTCTATTTTGTGTGGTCACGGTTAATCCATGCTAACATTTTATATTGTTTTTATAAAAATAATAAGATAAAAAAAATAGTAATATAAAATATTAACGTGGCTTAACCGTGATCACACAAACATGAGAGTACGAAAAGGGTACCGAATTGGGAGGGCAGAGAATCCAAGTCCAAGTAACATGGTGGCATGGACTTTTTGGTGTGTGACGTTTTGCTGACATGGAATTTGAATTTGTGATGGAATAAGGGGGATACTATTCAGAATTCATCCGTTTATTTTTTATTTCACACATTTTTCTTAATTTTCGACTGTCAGATCAAAGAAATTGAAATAAATTAATTATAAAAGTTTACAAGTATGTAAGAGGTAAAAATAAATGTGCGAATGACACTTTCCTGATAAAATTGACAAATTAATGATGTGTGTTTTGTTTGGTGAATTTTTTTTATAATGAATTTTATGATTTTTGAATTTTTCCCATGCGTAATAATGTTGTTTGATTTTAGAGTGAACTTTGCGATATCTTCACTAATTGATTAGTTCTCGCATGACTTTTCTTTGCACTGCTTTTAACTTGACTAGTCGACAAACTAGACATATATAAATATCATTTACTTATCACAAAAGCTAGTGTGATCAATGCGTCAATAAGTTGATCCTACATCCTCGACAAATAATTAGTGGTAATTTGTCTGAACATTTTGGTTGACATCTTTCAAATACTAATAGTAGGAATGAGCTTCTTTATTTCTGATTTCTCAATCACCAATTGCAATAGCAGAGCTAGTTTGGGGTTAATGATTGGTAATGTTCCCAACAGCTTCCAAACCCCATATATATTTGGTGACAAATTTATCTTTAACCCCAACTAAGAAGAGAGTGAATAACGTTGAGTTACAAATTGATGCTTCTTCCTTCTCCAGTTTTCTTTTTACTTTCCCGTGTCTTCCTTCTCGTTTTTCTTATGTGCAACCCAGTTGTGCGCACCACATGCTTGGCGTAATGCTTCACTCAAAAAGCCTTGGTAGGCAAGTCTTGACAATTTGCTAGCTTGGGCATCACTTGATAAATGTAGATGCTAGACGAACACATTAGCTATCGATGGACGTCATCACAAGTTTTCAGCGAATGTGGGTAGATTTTAATAAGTGCCCACCAGATACTTGATGAAATAGTGCAATACGATTTCTATCGGTCAAAATCATGACCCATTGTTATAAAATTCTTACTCCGTCAATGAAAAGTTGTTTGACAGATGATTAAGTGACAAATCCCCATACTCAATCTCCTTAGATTCTCAACTCGAGGACGCTTATGTTTAAAGCTATACATTTGCTAATAATCATATTCTTTCTCTCTTTTTTAGTTGGAAGGAACCACTAATCATAGTTGGTGGTTATTTGGTCGAATCATCTTTCGGTGGTTTAGAATATGGTAGGAGGGGAAGTGTTTCAATTTAAGGGGTAAGTTTGAAATTGAAAAGTAAGAAAAATGACCGAGTTTTTTAGGTGCAGTAGAACCACTCAAAATTAAATCGCAAACGTAAAGTTTTCAACTCTCTTTCATGCGATTAGATCAATTGTTAGATCATGCATATAATAATTTAACACATTTTTTCAATCGTTAAATTTAGCAAAAAATCTGTACACCGAATGAAACGTAATATTATAGCCGGATCTGTAAAGTTTGAATTCAACTTTACGGTCGTGGATTTACCTAATGTAAAACCCACGTTACATCAAAGTCCAGGTCAGTTGTCGTTATCGTTGAAATTGTGGGAACACAGACAGAGCCAACGTCAGAGACTCACATGGTGTTGAAGGAAAGAACATTTAATCTTGCTTCGTCTTCTTTGTTTATTTTCACACACACACGCACAGAGAAGTCGAACAGCAGAAGGCAGCCTCCTTCCCTCCACGGGTTGGCATTTGGCAGGCGCATCCGATATCTTCCTGTTCCCATCACCATCCCAACGTCCAATCCATGACACTTGAGATTGACCCCATATTCTATGTGCTATATTTTGTCCTTCACAGCACAGTTATTACTTCGTTAATATTAAATATCAAACTTATCATTTACGTAAATAAAATTTTAACTCCACATTCGGAAAGTACAAAATTATAATACTAGTTACAGAAACATATTAATAGTTTATTTCTATAAAACACAACGAGAAATCCAGTCAAACAAAGAAAAATCGGTAAAAATAAGACCTATTTGTTTAAGGTAATCTCGGATTGTAGAGGAACCAAGTTGGTAGCATTAGGTACACCAATGACAATATTTTAAATTAATAGCGCATTGTCATATATTTTAATTTTTTCACATAAACATGACGTTATCGTTGAAAACAATCCATAATGACGTATTCAGTGTAGATAAACAACTAGTCCATGTTGGTAACTCATATCCATGAGAAAATTGAGGCATAAAAGGTGGGGAATATTTTGACTATCGATAAAGAAGTAGAGACAGCATTATGTCCAACCCATGGCATTGGCAATGGCAGCTACAAAAACCTAAACAAGTGCCGCTCAAACCGGTTTTATGCAGCTCAAATCACATTATAAATTCCCTATATTTTCCACTACTGTTTTTAATGGAAAGTTGTAAATCTGACTTAAGAATTCGTGGTCAGATTTTTGTATTTAATTAAGTCAAATTTAACATGATCTTAAATCTAGTTATCATACCTTGATTTGTCAAGCATTGATCCACCCTCATCATATTGGTCAACAGGATGCACACGACCGGCGTAGAGTTAACAGGGCGGTGATTATATATTGCCGGTGATCCTGGTGTTGTAACTGCGTCGTAAGAACAAAGTTAGTTTTGTTGCTGTAAAAGATATATAGTTTTCTTGCTTACGGGACTGTACAATATTTCAAAGCTGAAACTTTGTGTTCAGTGCATGAGGCTAGGCTCCAGCTACCACAGGATTTTGGATTAAGGTATCAGCAACCGCACCTTTTTCCGGACAAATTGTTTCTACTATTCAAAACTGTAACTATTTAATCGCTTTTCACAAGTCATGAAGTTACGTTAATGTGCTGCTCAATATCTCACCACCTAATGGATAAAGCTAGATTATCATCATCTCCTGGCCGTTTCACTGAAGTAAACAGTTATCCCCTTCAACTTGCCGTTTAAGAAGTTTTTCTCAACTTGAGAGCAAATAATACCCCAATAGTCAGAGATAAGAGTATGATACTCCATTTGGTGATAGATAGAAAATGGTGCAACGCTCCTATAGAAAAGAAGTTAACAACGGTGGGGACTCTAGATCGATGATTCTCACAAGGAGCTATCCATTGGTGGGGAGTGGGGAGGACAAGAAACTTGAAAGCGATACAAACTGAAAAGGAAAATGATAAACACACTCTCTCCTCATACACACCCTATTTAATCATGTCCGTTATTTCCATTTGATTTATTTAATCCAATGGCTAAGAAAAAGAAGGGGTGCGTGAAAGGCTAACAACAGCATTTGAAAATCAGCTCTTAATTGATATATATATATATATATTTTTATATATTTATTTATTTATATATATATATATATATATATATATAAGAAAGTACCTCTAATGACCATGGCTGAGACCTTGATAAAGCAATTTCTGCTAATTGGTTGATATCAACATTTCTTGGGAGAAACATGATAATCCTAGTAGCAACTTCCTTCGCAGTGTTAATGAGAAAATAACTGCACAAATACATGACTGAGTTACATTGATCCCGAAAAGATGAGAAACTAATATGATAACCAACTCCAAAAGTTAAAAGGAAAAACATAGGAAAGTGGAGGAAAACACACAAACACACCCATCATGTGGCTTAAGCATTGTCTTTGTTGATGCACAAAACTGGAAGGGTCTTGGAACAATGTAAATCCGACCGTGAATCTGCATGAAAGTAAATAACACAAGATGTATCATGGTTCCCCCTAAGGTTTGGGTACGTCCACACTGATATTGTATTTCTCTGAGAGGATTGTGAGGGAGAGAGACTCTGTAATGAGAGTGAGGCATTCCTCTGAATATGAGAGGTTTTGAGAGGATGAGGGGACTTAGGAATTGGCCTAAGAGTTGGCCTCTTATTGTGAGGGTGAGAAGTCATTTTATAGAATAAGGGCTCCTCACTTATTACATATTTGCCCATTCATTTATTACATAATTACATTTGAGTCTCCCGAGTATTTATACCAGATCTAAATATGGAGGCCTTAAGTATGGTACAAACAGTAGTCCCCCAAGTCTTCAGTCAAGAGAGTCTTTTGGCTGGAGACTTGAAATTCAGTCCATGTGTGGGCCGAAGTAACTACATGTCGTCTAGTACTGATACTCGATATGAGGCGATGCTCAATCTGAAATGATGCTCAACTCGAAGTAGCACATGTTGTGAGGCTGCTTTGCTTGTAACTTATGTTGCCTTGGTTGGCTCGGCTTTGAAGGTGAGGGAGTCATTTTTATAAAATAAGGGCTCGCTCCTCAATATATAAGTGATGGGTTAGAGTTGATGCTCGCAGC